AACATTCTTTTAATTTGATGGGAATACAAGCGTTCACACTCTTACATCCCAAAACATTCAGTTGCAGATCTTAATACGTTTGGAAGGTTAGGCTGTTGGTGGTATATTTATATTTTTTTAGGTGACTTGATGCTACTTTGACTTACTTATTGACTTATTTTCCCTAACTAAACAACTCTTTTAAATGTTATTGTTCATACAGCTAAGTGAAATACTATATACTGAAGTGAGTGTGGACCTGTGCTAAATTTACTGCAATATTTTCCACTCTGCAGTGCTATTTATATCAGATGTTGTTCATTATAGACTTGTTTTGGCTTGACCTGAAGCAGTTTGGCCCTTTGCAGTGATCAATAACTGCTAAGCGTTTTATCTTTGTTGGCTATTGCTGGCACAATTTTCTGCTAATAATTTTCCGATGTGCCATTAAGTCTAGAGCAGGTTATTTCCACACCCTAAACTAAAAGTAAGATGGAATACGCTGATCAGGCAAAGAGGGGCTCACTTCAGCGTGCCATCTATCGAATGCAGAGAGATGATCTATGTGTTCACTTCCAGAGACACACCCTCCGATTAGTGAAAGATGAACCTGATGCATGTGGCTTTGGAAAAGAGATGCTGGCTCGGGTTTGTGCTGAATTCAGTACATCTACACAGATGACATCTTGGTGGCACTAGTTGCCGACATCCTCATCAGCTCACAATTATAGCAAATAGGGACATTGTGTGGTCTACATTTGTGCTGTAGGCCAAATTGTGGATTATGGATTAAATTGTGGAAAATTATGGATGCATTAATATAAAGTCGTCTGAAATCAATAAGAGGAGGTTTATTATTGTCTATTTGTTGCTGATAGAACTGCGAAAAGCCTGATATTTTAATGTTTTATTGTTTTGTTAAAATGTATCAAATTATATCAAATATAAATCAAATCTCATATACTTCCAATTTGCTGCATTAACTATTACATCACTATTTCTCATTATAATAATGACAGTCACAATTATTGTTATTGACTCCCAATGTAGTGGCTACGCGATGGCGCAGTAGGTAGTGCTGTCGCCTCACAGCAAGAAGGTCACTGGTTCGAGCCTTGGCTGGGTCAGTTGGTGTTTCTTTGTGGAGTTTGCATGTTCTCTCCGTGTTTGCGTGGGTTTCTTTTGCGTGCTTCAGTTTTCCCCACAGTCCAAAGACATGCGGTACAGGTAAATTGGGTAGGCAAAATTGTTCGTAGAATTTGAGTGTGAATGAGTGTGTATGGATGTTTCCCAGAGATAGGTTGCAGCTGGAAGGACATCCTCTGCGTAAAACATGTGCTGGATAAGTTGGCGGTTCTTTCCACTGTGGCGACCCTGGATTAAAAGGCACTAATCTGAAAAGAAAATGAATGAATGAATGACACCCAATGTAAAAATCTATGGAATGTTCTTCAAAAATTAAAAAAATAAAATAAAATGAAAAGATGATAAAACGAGGGGTGGAGAAATTCAGAGATCCTTGGAGGCCAATTAGTGTCATTGTCAAAGCCATGTTTGATTGTGATGCCTAAAGGTGCATGAGAGGAAAACAGGATGGCATCACTGCCTGATTCCCCAACGGCAGACGTCTGCTCTGTCTCTACACTCTCAGAGGGCAAACGAGTGAAATGTGAGCCCTGTCTGTCTGAGTGGTGCTTCCCTTGCTCTCGCCCCCTCATTTATTGGCTCTAAAATTACAAAGCTGTCATTTAAAATAGAGCAGACAAGTGAGCAGCGGCTGGCCATCGCATGTCCGGGGACAGACAGACCCTCATACCCCCCCACTCCCCAACTAACAGTATCTCTATACAGTTTGTGTCTGTAAGGATTAAGCCTTTGGCCAATAACCCTGGCGAGCGATCACTGTTGTCACTGCCGTTCAGTGCGCTCCTCAAGGGCAGAGTGCTGAGCATGTTACTTTTCTCATGAGGGAAGTCAGACGACTGTTTTGCTTTATTGCCTGGAGCAGACAGGGTTCCCCTTCACTCAGCCGAGGGGTCCATTCAGCAGAAGTTGGCAGACAGGGTGTTATTTTTGCAGTGGCGTATTGTTCTGCATTGTTTCTATAAGAGCTGAAGATGAATTCTTGCGCTGAATTCTTGCGCTGTTGTATCTTTGTATTGGTGCCAGGACCTGGACCTCAGCCAGGGCTTTTAATTACATCAACTTTTTGATGTCTTGACATCTTCTTTAAATAGAAAAGGGAGGGATACGAGGTCCTGAGAGATTTTATTATTATTGTTATTATTATTGTTATTATTATTATGTACCTTTTATCAAAACATTTAATCGGAATATGCGCAGCTGCCATAACAGGGTCGTTGTCAGTCTGTAATATTTATATCTACAAACATTTACATAAAAAGCCATTCATCAGCTTTTACAACTGCCCCGATATCGGTGAGGTAACGTCTCGAGGCTCCCAAACAATTAAGACAAGTCCAATGTGATGAGAGCCAAAAGAATCAATCAAGAGTTAGCATTTCTCGACATATAGAAACCCTTTTTGGCAGGAGCATCTTTACTTCAACCTGCCTTACTGGCACGAGAAAATCCTGACCAAACAGTTGTTTGAAATGCGATTTCTCGGACACCTGGGAAATCCTTTATTTCGCTCTGCCGCGACAGCATGAGGCACTGAAGTGTGTGGCCTAGTGCTCCTGTGTGCCGCGGGGTCAAAGCTTCAGGACGTGCCTTCAGCAACTGATGTAAATTTATCATCCCATCTGAGCACTGTAAGTGAAGGTGGGGTGAATAGGGTAAATTCATCAGCCTCTTACAGAACCAGATGTCCAGGTTGCTGTGTGACAAAGCAGAAGCATGTGCGGCCCACAGACTACGTAGGACGGCCTCTCTGTGGCAGTTCCTGTGAAGGAGGGCCTGTGAAAGCCATTTAGGCTGGAAGAACACCAGAGCAAATGACACATTTGTTTGCCTGCAAGTCCCTATTAGGATTCAGGAAGAATTACGTAATGCATGAGTGAGCTGTAATGATAGAAGACAGGGATCTGTGGCAGAATTGACATGTTTTGGACAATGACACTCTTGTATATTTTCAGATACATCTTTAAATATATTTTGGACTATTCTTAAAATGCCTCCTATAGAATTATGTGCGTTTATTAGAATATAATTTAGCAATATTTAGATGTTCTCATCATATTTAGAGAGATTAATATTTTCTTTCAATTCAGTTTTAGTAGAAACTAAATGCATTGCGACCTTAAATGTGTCACAAGCTTTAAAATATATAGAAATAATAATAAACTTTATATAATTATTTATACATTATTTAGTCCAGGTGGCCTCTTGCATTAAAAATAACTTTGCGTGAATTTTCATTCCTTTCATTTTTCATTCTTATTTGTCGGTATAAAAAGAAGTTGTTCTTTATAAAAAGACTACGACGGGTATTTTTCCACATGGAATAAAAATATTTATAGGTGAAGGGCAGAATCAAGTCCTGCCTGGTCCAGACTAGTTCTGTCCTGCTAATAAAAGATATCTCTTTTTAGTTCTGTATACTGATCTCTCCGCACTGGCTTTAACCGTCCCATTCACGGTTCACACTGCATTTGCCTGCTAATGTCTCCCAGCAGGCCTCCAGTCAAAAACAGTGATTCATAAAGTGACAGGTCTGTCTGCTGCCATGAGGACACAAGCTCTCAGAATCCTGCCCCTCTCGCTCTCTTTTCCACACCCTCCCCACTAAACAGACTCAGGCTGCGTTAGACTGTCTGGTAACAGTCTATTTTACATGTTAGGACAAGCAAATTCAACAATAAACCCTGTCCTAATATCAAGCGATAGTAAAGGAGGTCTCAGCCACATTAAATGCAGGAGTGTCAGTTAATCATCTATTGTGTTTGCATGCACAGTTTTACACTCACAAAACTGCAAGGTCATGTAAATACTAAAACAGTGTTCATTCATCAGGTATAAATGGTTAAGCAAAAAACTCAATTGCCTGTCTGTGATTGTTTTTGCCATTATCCTAAATTTATTCTATATGTAAATACATTAACTGCCTTTTTAGTGACTTTTTTGGTGTACATGGCTGTTTTTGTAGGAAAAAAAATGGTAATCCTATTTAAAATACTACATATAATAGGCATAGGCCGGTATAAGATTCTGACAGTATGATAAACTTGGATAAAAATATCATGATATCACGGTATTGTGCTCACTGCTCTCTACGCTTTTTTTCTCTTTAAACACAATATATTTTATTTTTCCAAAGATCTAAAATATTTTGGAGCAGTAAACATGTCAGGCTGAATAATGAAAATTAATCATAGGCTTCTGCTATCTTCATTAGTTTCAAAAACACTGATTTCTTTACAATTTAAAACAACATCTTTGGAGATCTTTTCTGCTGAAGATACTGTTGTCCTTAAAAACTAAAATAAAATGTAAATAAAATTTTTTTGAGTGTGGTGTGATGTCATAACTAGAGATCATTTTTAAAAAAATGTGTTATCATACAAAGAGCATGAAAATGTTTTCATATGGCGCGAGAGAAAAACAATATTATTTTCACATGAAATAATATTGAGCATTATGAATTGGCAGAAATAAATGACCATTCAAAACAATTCCTCATAAAAAAATGTAACATTTTCTAGTCAGTTTTAGTGTCTTCGAGACACAACAGTTGAAGGAACGCATGTAATTGCGGTCACTGAGAAAGCAACAGCTGTGTGGTGAATTTCATGTCTCATTTTGTCAATGAAGTCATCTCATTGTGAGTTTAGGAGGTCTTTTCCAGATGTGTTACTTTCACATCACCGCATTAGTACATCAGCAGACGTCTTTCTCTGGTACTTCATTAGCATTTGTCAGCTCTTGTTCCTTAGTTTATTTTTAGACTGTCTTCTTGGGCAAACATATGCCTTAATTGTTCATCTTTAGCCTTATCAGCAAGCTAGCGAGACGTGCACCACTCATAGTCACTAACTCTGTTTGTCTTCTTGTGTTATTAGTGTCTCCAGAAGTTATGCTGTAAGGCCCCCCCTCCACCGAGACCTGAGTACGACGTGGTGTGCATTGGACTGAGCGGTGCCGGAAAGACAAGTCTGCTCTCTCGTTTGTGCAATGAGATCAGTGATGGCACGGTACCAACCACAGGTAGTATAACACCTCTCTGCAGCTTTTTACTGCAGCATGTTTGAAACCTACAAGACATGCTTTTCAATGAGTTTCAAATCACATTTTCATCTCACAAAAGAGTTTTACAGGTAACACAAAGCTCAGCGCCTGTTCTTCAACAAATATGACAAATCATTCCGACAAATCGACTTAGCACACTAGTTTTGCAGTGTGTTTGGTTAAGCCTCCACATTTGTACGGAGTACATATCTCATCTCTGGCACTGCTCTTTTCCAGTGCTCTGGAAGGTCTGCAAAATCTGTTCATTGTCACCATGTGCTCTTCACCCTTTCTGAGCTCGAAAAGCTGTTTAACGTTATCGCTGCAGGTTCCCTGAGAGCCTCCCTTTGAACACTACACTACTTTACCAAAAAAAGAGCACACTTGTTGAGGAGCTCTTTGTATGACCATGTGTCTGTTTTTAAGAACATCTTGGCTTTGTGGCACAGACCTTCTTTACTTGTAAAATGTGTGTTGATTTTAGTAGAGGTCTTGCCGACTGGCACCTCTGAAGGTGGACGACTTCACTTCCGTTTTTACCAATGACAAAGAAAATGTTGTTTTTTTCCGCAAGAGAAGACACAATTGTGTCAGGCTTTCTTCACCACGTCTCAACAATTGGAGTGTGATGTATACAGCATGCTAGACGATAAACAAACCCAGAATGTGTGTATAATGATGATCGCTCTTTGTCTTTGGAGTGAACACCTGTCTTGAACTGTCTAGTGAAGCAGTAATTACAACAGAGAAGTATTATTTGGCAGTGCTTGTGGAAATATGCTTAGATTAAGTTGTCAGAGTTGCTAGTCAGCACCATCAGACCTAAACGGAGTTTATAGCCTGTTCATAGGATATTTATTCTCACCAGCTGAACATTTGATGAAACCTACCTTCTAAACCTTAGCTTTAAAAAATGTGCTCTTCAGAGGATCACTCTCACATTTTCACTTGTGATAATCAGTACCAAATGCCTGTTCCCCTTCACTCTGCATGCAATTGTGGGAAAATACCAGAACGGATGTCATGTCAATTTTTTGTTTTATGTCAGTCAGAGGCATCTTTCTCAGCATTATTGTTGTACTTTAAAAGGATAGTTCACCCAAAAATTTAAATGAGCTTTTAATTAGTCACCCAACATGTTCAGTGATTTTTGTGTGTGTGTGTGTGTGTGTGTGTGTGTGTGTGTGTGTGTGTGTGTGTGTGTGTGTGTGTGTGTGTATATATATATATATATATATATATATGTATATATTATTTATTTATTTATTAATTTTTTTGTCTGAAATGGGTTGTTGGGGATTCATATAAAATAATGGCTAAGAAAATATTAAGGCAAAATAATATTAATACTTGTGGCTCCTGATGATACTTTGATGTCTGTCCAAGCAAGTTTTCTTTCATATAATGATCAATGTTTGGGCACAGACTGATACATAAGACTCCTTTGCCACAAGATCAGGAGGACACGTGTTTCATCAAAATAGTACTTGTTCCTATCCTAGATGCTGCTGTCTATATAAGAAACATAGGATTATGTATATATTCGCAATCTTAATCACAAAGATTCACTTTTAACAACATATGATCTACATCATTATGCAACATGAAGTTTGTGCTCCAGATTATCGAGAAGGCATTCAGAACCGTTTACCGTTGCAGTGGATCACAGATAATAATATTGTAACTAATATTGCTTGCACAGGCTTTGCTATTATTTATTATAGTTATTTTGACAGCAGCCCATGCTCCTCACAGAGATCAGATCTTACCATCATCTAGTTTGTCTGGAAAAGACATGAAGAAACAGAAAGACTGATAACAAAGTTGATGTAGGTTTGGTGTGTCCTGGTGTAAGTTAATTGACAAATAAAATCTGTTTATGGCATTATTTAAAAAAAGTCAACCTCATTTAACAGCATTTTCACGTAAAACGTTATATTGTACTTTAGCTTTTCAGTCTCAGTCTTCCTGTTTCTTCATGTCTTTCCAGACAGACCAGATGATAGCAAATGCAGAGAACTGGCTGCAGTCAGAGTCCTGTGCATAATGAAACCCCACACTGGATTATTACAATTAACAGCAAAAATAATATTTGGAAATGTAAACTGATATTTCCTACTGACACGGTGTCAAAAGATAAAATATAATGGATTTAAAACTATTCTTTGTTGGTGAAAAGAGCTGTGGCTTAGACTGTAGGACAGATTTTTTTTACTCTTAAATTGCCAAAAGCCATTTATTTGCATTTAATGATTGCCTGGGGGCCACGGTTTCTGCTAAAAATTCATTTAAATCTTCTACTGAAAAAAGTAGTGTCCTACATCTTAGATGGCCTGAGGTTGGGCAAAGTTGTGTAGCAAAAGTCACTCATTTTTAAGTAAGTGGCTTGCAAAAAATATTATTTGAATCATGTATACATTTAAATATAGCCTGTAAACCGAATTCTAGCCTATGTACTGTAGATAAATGCAAAGCTGTGTTTTTATCATATTTATCCAATTCAGTATATCTGTCTTTAACCACATTGTCTTTGAAACTTTAACATGAGCATGTTTTCTTTCACAGGTTTCAGCATCAAAGCAGTGCCATTTGAAAATGCCATACTGAATGTGAAGGAACTTGGAGGTAATAAGAACAAATAGACTATATTAATCACCATGTCTTCTCCTAGCAGTGGAGAGTAGACTGTTGCCATGCTAATCCAGTGGTCTCTGAGACAGATCTCTCAGTTTAGCCACCTGAACTCTAAGAAGGGGCGCTTACCTCAGTGTCTCCTACTTCCCAGTAAAACCACAGCTGCACTGAGGGTTTAAAGCATAAGACAGTCAGTCAAGTTTAGTAGGCATTTGCTAAGCAAATAAATATTGTGTCACATTTGGCACAAGGACTTGAAAACAGGGAAACAAGAAGCTGATGTCTGCGATAGACAGTTTTGCACATATAAGTTTCTCTTTGGCATTCATGAACAAATATGGTTTGGTCAGCAGTTGGCATGTTTTCTGTTGTCAAACTGCAAAATACCAATTTTCTTGATCTGTTTTTTCTGTGTTTTTTGTTTTATATTTTTAACGTTTTAAAAAGTAATTACCTAACATGTAATATGAACATCTCCAAATATTTAATGCAGTTTTGCTAGAATGTCCTGCTAACCTGAGTATTCATTCAAGTTTAAAAATGTTTAATCAAAGATGGTTTAGAAGACATTTTTTTATTATTTTTTTTCTTTGTGCATAATAAGTTTTCTGTCTATATTGCATTGCTGTCTCTGCATCTGTTAGTCTTTATTTTAAGAAATAATAAAATAGTAAGACAACATCTGTAACAAGATGTAACGCTTGTTTCCTTTCAGTCAGTCACTACAAGTTATGTTGCACAACATTTGGGGATTGGTATGACATAACATGTAGCGAACGACTGAAGGGGAACGTCTCAGCAATAAATGAAGCCACAAATGGGAAAACAGAGATATTATTGCCGGCAGTTAGCTCTCTGCAACTCTCACATGGTCGCCCACTGAAGCTAAGCAGGGCTGCGCCCGGTCAGTACCTGGATGGGAGACCACATGGGAAAGCTAGGTTGCTGCCGGAAGTGGTGTTAGTGAGGCCAGCAGGGGGCGCCCAACCTGCGGTCTGTGTGGGTCCTAATGCCCCAGTATAGTGACGGGGACGCTATACTGCTCAGTGAGCGCCGTCTTTCGGATGAGACGTTAAACCGAGGTCCCGACTCTCTGTGGTCGTTAAAAATCCCAGGATGTCCTTCGAAAAGAGTAGGGGTTTAACCCCGGCATCCAGGCCAAATCTGCCCACTGGCCTTTGTCCATCATGGCCTCCTAACCATCCCCATATTCCAATTGGCTTCATCGCTGTCTCCTCTCCACCAATCAGCTGGTCTGGCGCAAAATGGCTGCCGTCGTGTCATCCAGGTGGATGCTGCACACTGGTGGTGGATGAGGAGATTCCCCCCATTGTGTGTAAAGCGCTTTGAGTGCCCAGAAAAGCGCTATATAAATGTAAGGAATTATTATTATTATTATTATTATGTCATGAAATTAGAAAATCCCCTAATTTCTTATGACATTTCTCATAGTGACTGACCAAAAGGGAAGATGGGTTAGGTTTGTTTTACTCTCTCCACCACATTAGAAGTGTAAGACACGACGGACAATTTTTTTGTAACTGATTTTACATTGTCTGTAGTATACAGACTTTTACCCTGTCTCCTTCAACTTTTCTATTTTGCATATATAACTAATCTGACCGGATGTTCATTTAAGCTGGCTACATACAAGGCCACAGGTATAATGTTGGAAGATGCTTGTTGTTGTAGAACTGTTGAGCAGAAAGAGGTCTTTGGAGAGAGAAATAAATCAGAGCCCGACTCTGTTTATGAGAATGTTAGGGGAGCCGCTCTTTGAAGTGATTTATGTGCTTTGTGGGACGCGGGGGACATTACAGGTGCACTCTGTATCATGACAAGTGGCCCGACCAACACAACAGAATCAAGAGCCCACTTAAAGAAAAACAACAGGGATAGAGAACACAGTAAACCAGAGGGAGGCCTGACTAAATCTGAAATGCATATGGAGGGCCGTGAAATGAAGCTTCTCCAGTAGGTGAGGTCAGAGCCCCTGGGGATGATTTTAATGGATTGTGGCCTCCAGTGTTCTTTAAGATGAGGCTGATGTATCACCTGGAGCAGGACACATCTGCTCTGACTGAAAGTTTGCAGAGTACCTGAAAGGGAATACAGCTGTAAAAGATATGTTGTGCTTGTGTTTTTATGCTGCCCCATGAACTGCCTTACTTTGGTCATTGACTACTATAACCTTCCGGGATGTCTCCCTGGTCAAACTACATTATTCTTTGACTGTGCATCTAATTCAGTGGGTCTCAGCATTTTTGACACGAGGACCCAATAGGTTTCAGTTGGGATTTTGACAATGAGTAATTATATAAAGAACGAGTATTACTCCTTATGAA